GCTGTTGCGGCCGTTAACGCCAGGAAAGTGCTCTGCGGCTGGGTATGAGAGGCCGAGCCCGCCCAGGGATATTGGGAGGGAGGTCTGGCGCCAAGTGCGGGACCGCTCCCCAGGGTGGCGATGCAGGGGGGTTGATGTGGCGTGGCACACCGATGTGGTAGGGTGTTTGGTGGAGAGGTACGGAGCAAAAAGGACACGCGGCCGATGCAGAGGGAGAGAAGGAGGAGGAGGCGGATTTGGGGGTTGACCTGGGAGAGGATTTCAGATGTTGATCCGTGAACACGGAGAATTTCAGCACTGATCGAGAGGCGCTGCAGGATGAACGCCACGCTGCAGGCTGTGGACCTCACAGGCCGCCGAGAACAACACGCAGGCCACTGCTGAAGAGGGTGGCGTGGCTATGTTGCACTATACGCGATTCGCGTATCAGTCGCGTTCGACTTATACGCTTACGTACGAACGTGAGACGGGAGATTTCCGCCCTAGGATACGTTCCAAATACGTTCGCCCGGGCAGGGGAAAAAAAGTTCCGGGCAGGGGAAAAAAGTGCCATGGTCCCTATATTCAATGTTTCTTGCCGATCTGCGTCGATCTGCTGGCGGAATACTAGAATCGCGCGGATCTGCTGGCGGAATGCTAGAATCGCGCGGATCTGCTGGCGGAATGCTAGATCTGCGCCCCTCTGCCTACTTGCGTCCAGCTGCGACATTAGCGGTCGACATAGGTTTTCGAAGCTGACGACGTGAAAGCCAAAGTGTGGTTGGAAGGGAAGGGTTGGGTTTGGGAGGTGGTGTGAGGTTATGTGCGGTGGAAGGGGGGGGTGGGTGCGGGGGAAGGCATTCGACTTTCAGATGTCAAAATTAGGTTACGGAGAATCACAGATCGCGAGAACGGCTATTTTTTTTTTCGACGGGCAGCCCGTCCAGGCGTAACGCGTATTTGTCCCCGTATCACGTGTTTCCGTTTATACGTGAACGCATAAACGTGATACGAAAAAAGCCCTCAGCGTGTAGTGCAACATAGCTAAGGCGTGGGTCGGCAGACAGAAGCAGGTTTGGTTGAGAGCTGGGCGACCATCCCTCGCACCTGGAGAGGTTGTGGGCAGAAGGCTGCTGGCCGAAGTCAAGGAGTCGAAAGCAGCAGAGCAGTCTTGTGGGGGGGGGGGGGGGAAGCAGATCACTTACGGTGGAGCACTCACGGTGGAACTTAGAAGCTCAAAGCAGTGGCTCGCCGCCTCCCACCTGAGTGCCAGCCAGGATGACGACAGTAGGGTGGGAGGCAGCCACTGCTTTGAGCGCGGGGTGGATGGCGGCAGCGAACAGGAGAGGGGGCCCAGCCCACGGCATGGCATCCTCCTGGCGAACAAACACCTGTGGCGCTGGTGAGGTGGGCGACGTTGAGTCGAACGCGGTGTCGAGGAAGTGTCGTCCAATCCAGTACGACCCGTGAGTGGCTGCTGCTGTAGGACAATGCGGTGACAAAGGCCCTCGAATGCGCCCGCCCGCCCCCACTCTCGATGGCGTTCAAAGCGTTACTGACGTCGAGGTGGAGGGCGGGGAGTGTGTGTGGATGGATGGAAGGGGAGAACTCCTCAAGGTAGGTTCTGGAGGAGTGGATGATTGCTTCGACCCGCGCCCCTACAATACCCCCTTCGTACCGGATTGGGAGGAAGTGTGGGCACACAAAGGGAACACTGGGAAGCAGCGATCAGGAGGGCCGCTTTTGCAATGAGGTGATGGACGACCTTTCTCAAAAGCGCTTAGGCTTGGCCATAGGCGGAGGGCCATTGGTCTGGTGAAGGCTTTTGAGTTGCCTCAAAAGCGCTTAGGCTTGGCGAAGGCAAGGGTTGCCTCCGTGTGGTGAGCCTCCCTGCGAGTGCCATGTTCGCGAGTGCCAGAAGGTGTTAAGGGGGCGTCATATAGGAGTTTGAAGCACATGGCAGCTGCCATGGCGCCGTTGCTGTTCTTACATCCGGAGAGGAGCAACCGTAGGTCTCAAAAGGGGATGACAGGTGAGCCTGGGGCCTGGTAGGTTTGCCGTCATTTTGGAAGGAAGGTGATGGCGTTGGGGAGACGAGATTGGAGGGCCTCCATAGTCTCACAATTGGACGGGCTGACTGGGGTGCTCTCAAGAGCTTCCAAGGCCTTGTCCAGGCTGCCGCGCGTGGCAAGGGATGTTATGTTGCACGAGAGAGCTTCCCAAGGATGTCCGTGGCGGAAGGTCTGTCGCAGAAGGGGAAGGTTGATTGCAGCACGGGCGTCAGTGTAGAGCTTGCACCAATGCAGGCATCAGTGTAGAGCCTGCCTGAATTGGGGTAACTGACTGGAGATGATAGCCCAGTCCGGTGAGCAGGAGGAAGTGACTCTTGAGTGTGAGGCGTGGGAGGAACAGCAGGAGCTTCCAGGCGGGTAGAGAGTCAGGTTTATTAGGGATGTTCGATGATTCAGTGTTGATAAACAGCTCTGCATTGTCAGCGAGATGCGCTGGTAAAAAGAGGGGGGAGGTGTTGGTTTGCTTGGGCCTGGATTGGTCACTGGGGTGGTCTAATTGGAAGGGTGAGATGCGGTTCGGGAAGCGTTTCGACGAGCAGCGAAACCAGTGGTTTGGTTCTCAGGTCTGGGCACAGGGGAAATTTCGGTTGGTGTGGAGAGTGGAGATTCAGGGTCACCCTCGCTATCAGAGGTGGGGTACGAACTCTCTAGGGTACGACCTTCAGGATTGGAGCTTCATGCTGTAGCCCTTCGCCTCGGCGGCTCTCGCCATCTCCCTCGCTGTGGCCATCTCGGAGGTGGGTCGCGGCCAGGCGCAACCAGCACGGTGGGATTCTCCTCGTCCGCAGAGGTCATCACCTGTCTGGAAGGACCATGGCTGGCAGAGCAGGCGAGGGGGGACAGCATAGGCGCGCGCAGGGCCGTAGGCGGCCGTATTCGGACCAGCTGGAAACAGCCAAGGCGACGACGGCGGCGCCCGGCACTCGCGGAGGTTCCTGCTGCCATTCGCGCATTGTGGCATGAGGTAAACAGGTATCGCCTCCTCTCGATATATCGGCTCGCTCGCCAGTGCCCCTTGGACGGACTCCACCAGGGGGAGGGGATGGGAGGTGGTGCACTGCACCGAAGGGGGGGGAAGGGGGGGGGGGGGAGGGGGGGAGGTACGCCCGTGCTCGTACCGGCAGTGTAGCACAGGCCAAAATTGTTCCTGCGTGCACCGCCACCTGTGGTGCATCTGCTGGCGCAGGCCCAGCGGGCGCCTGGGCTTGCTGAGGATCGTGTGGTGGCAGAGCGAGGGATGCAGCAGCGGGGACGGTGGCGGATCCGTCATGTGCAGAGCCTCCGTATCAATGCCGGCCCGTGCGGTGTCAGTGGGGTGGCCCGGTTCCGCGTGAGCTCCCTTTCAGGTGGTGCTTGAGCGTTTAAGGGGGCGCAACTAAGGGGGCACCGCGCAAGATGCCCGTGCAAGGGGACATTCATTTGCGCCTGGGGCATGCTCCGGCCTATGTATAGAGGTGGTGGCGGCAATGTGGGGGTGGAGTTGAGTATGCCTGGGGGGCGAGCGATGGGTGACTGTCCCGCAAGGGTGGTGGTGACGGACCACCCCCAGTCCAGGGCGTGAATTGTTGAGATGCTCCTGGGGACAACCACACCTAACCCATGAGTGGGAGTGGGTGGAGAGCTCAATGGAGCGGGCTGTGCCTGGTCGGCCGAGGAAGAGGTCGTGGTGTAAATGCTGTAAATGCTGTTGATGGCTGCGTGCCAGTGCTTCGTCTTATTGATAAGACCGTGGTGTGGTTGTTGGAGAGTGGGGGCGTAGCAGAGCAGTTGTATGGCGGAGCGAAGGCGCCTGCTGCATGGAAGGCTAGCATAGAACCGCCGGCACCGTAGTAGGTCCATGGAGCTGCTTCAGGCCGTCCATGGTCGCTCACGACTTGGAAATGCGTGTGTGTTTTATCTGCATTTTAAACATGTTGCAGTCTGTACATAGTGTGCTGTCGTCCTGTACAGCGCGGCCGAAGCCCGTGGCCAAACTACAGAAGATAAAACAAAAGAAATGTCTCACCCTCACTGTTTACTCTCCTCCTCTATCCCACCTGCCTTTCTTCGTTCCATATTCCCCCTCCACCAATTGCTTCTCAAACGGTCCTTTGTATCAATGAGGAGATTGGTACAGGCTGAGTGCGCAAGAGAGGACAATGTCTGCTAACATGCAGTTCTGACCCCATACATCCGTGTGGAGAAGAAAGCACCGCATGCATTTCCAAATCTCCGCAAGGCATTTGCAAGCCCCTTCCCTGCACCTCCCCTTCCCTTCCCCTTCCCCTTCCCCCTTCTCTACACCAACCCCCACGTTTCCCCTTCCATACACCTTCCTCCACCGCCCCAGGCTCAAGATGCCACAGCGCGCATGAGTGTGTGTGTGGAGAAGGAGGGTGCGCATGCGTGTGTACGGAAGCTGTTTCGAGACATGCCGGACCTGTGCGGATCTTTCTATGCTTACTTCATCCAGGTGTGTTGTGAGTCGACAGGTATGCACCAAGACCCCATTCCTAGCTGCACTCCCTGCCCCCTTCCTTTTGCCTACCTCCTCCTCCTCCTCCTCCTCCTCCTCCTCCTCCTCCTCCTCCTCCTACTCCTCTTCTTCCTCCTCCTCCTCCTCCTCCTCCTCTTCCTCCTCCTCCTCCTCCTCCTCCTCCTCCTCCTACTCCTCCTCTTCCTCCTCCTCTTCCTCCTCCTCTTCCTCCTCCTCCTCCTCCTCCTCCTCCTCCTCCTCCTCCTCTTCCTCCTCCTCCTCCTCCTCCTCCTCCTCCTCCTCCTCCTCCTCCTCCTCCTCCTCCTCCTCCTCCTCCTCCACCCACCCACAGTGCTAGTGGAGGGGGACCAGGTGGGAATTTTTCTTTGCACTTCGTCCCTCTCACCCACCCCACCATCCTCGAGCAAGCCACTTTCCATACCCTCCACCTCCGCTCCCCCCACTCCCTCTTAGCAGTGGGGAAGCAGGTTTGAATGATCAACCTGGAGATTCTTTTCGATTCCTCCCTTTTCATTGCTCCCATTCCACCCTCGTTGATACAGCCACTTTCCAACCTTCCCCCTCCTCCTTTCTCCTCTCCCCCTCTCCCCTTCTCCTTCCCCATCCTCCCTCCCCTTTCACCCTTCTCCGACTTCCCTCTCCCCCACCCCACACCTATCATCCCCCCCTTCTCTCTCTCCCCCCCTCCCCTCTTCGTGACTGGTTCCTCTGATTCCACCCACAGGCCTTCGTCTCCCTCCACTTCAGACACTGCATGGCCAAAACACCAAGCCATTCCACTCCCTGCTATCCCTCTTCACCCCCTCCTCCCCCACCTCCCCTCACTTCCCCCTTCCCCTTTCCTCCCTCTCTCCCCCGTCCCCCCCACTGTCAGGACTGATTCCACTCCCTCCACCCACAGGCCTTCTCTCTCTCCAGTTGAGGACTACATGGCCAACCCACACCGAGCCACACCACCAGCCCCTCTCAACACACCCCAGTCCCCTTCATCCACCCCCACCCCCCTGTCCCACCCCCACTTCAGGACTGGTTCCGCTCCTTCCACCCCCAGGCCTTCCTTTTCCTCCGATTCGAGGACTACATGGCCAACCCCCGCCCGCACATCGCCCAAACCCTCGACTTCCTCGGCTTCCTCGCTGCTGACGTGGCGGAGGAGCAGTGGGCGGGGATCGTCGACCTGGAGCGAGTGGAGCAGCGGCCAGAGGGCATGGCGAGGGAGGAGCTGGATCACCTAGAGGCGTTCTTCGCGCCTTTCAATGCAGATCTGGTGCGGTTGCTGCGTGATGACAAGTACTCGTGGAAAAGAGGGCAGAGGTGATAGGGGACGGGTGGAGAGGAGAGAAAAGGGGGGAGAAGGGGAGGGGGGGGGGAGAGGGGGGGTGAGGGGGGGGGAGGAGGGGGGTTAGCGAGGTAAGGAGGTGGGGGTGAGGGGAGTAATGTGCCGAAGTATTTTATTGGCATTGGCACATACCGTAATCCCCCGTATATAGGACCCCCCCCAGTTGTAGACCCCCGGGTCTATAATACGGACCCGGGTACTCTATTCGAGTACATCTAAATTATACCCCCTAAATGGCCCCTAACATTATAAGACCCCCCCACATCCTAGAGAAGTGTGGATTTCACAAACAAGCAATTGAAAATGGTCATAATCCATGTTGATTAAGAGAAATCGCACCCATGAACGCACTGACCTGACGCTGACGCAGACGCAGCTACCTGAGGGGACTCAGTGGTCAGTGTGTACAGGTCCGACCCCGGCTGCCGAGTGAAGGTAGCCAGGTGACGACCCGTCTGAGCACACGTGCAGTGTGTCACACGCTCGTATGCAGGGGTGAACTGGTGAACACCCGCGTCCTGGAGCGCGGACCCCGCCACCAAGTTCGTAGAGAACGAGGGGAGGTAAAGACCAGACAGCGTGCCGGACGGGACAGCAGGACAAGGGAGGGCAGTGGTAGAGGTCGCAAGGTCCGGACCCCCAGAGGGGTCAGCCAGGGAGACAGCAACAGGCCTGGGGAGCTGCGCTAGAGCAGTGCGGTCCCAAAAGAAACAACGGGAAGCACCTGAGTCCAGCGTGAAGGTGTGCAGTGCCGCAGTAGACGCAGTACCTGAAGGCGCCGACACACGAGCACCTGAAGCAGCAGACTCACCAGCACCTAGAGCAGAAGCCTCACCAGGACCTGGGGCAGCAGACGAACTAGCACCTAGAGCGGCAGCCTCACTGGACGCAATGCCCGGTCGGGCGGGACACGCAGGTAAGATTCACCCTCAACACTAGTAGACAATGCATACATAGCACCAAGGATAACATCAAAGTCAAGAGCAAAGATATCAATGTTCTTTTTAAGCAGATCAGCCCAGCGGGGCAGCTCAGAGGCGTCAGGGAACTGTGCACGCCAGGCGTCGTCGAGACGGTAGAAGCAGCGCTGCTGCGTGTGGGGCCGCCCACACGTCTGACCAGTGCGGTCACATGTGCGGATGACATACGGGCAGGTACCTCCACCCCCAGACCCCCCATGCTGAGAGTACCACTCACGAAGCTGCTGGGGCGTCGGGGTCTCTCCTAGACGCTGCTGCTGGCGCTGGACACCACCCGAACCTCCACGCTGCGCTGGTCCACCCCGACCACCACCCCAGCCGCCGCCACCACGACCGCTGCCGCCACCACCACCGCCTCCACCCCGGCCCCCTCCACCACCACTGCCGCCACCACTCCCGCCGCTGCCACTGACCCCCCCAACCCCGCCACCACCACCACCCCCACCACCCCCACCGCCCCCACCGCCACCTCCACCTCCCCCGCTGTCACCGCCACCACCCTTGCCCCCCTTGCCCCTGCCTCCCTTGCGCCTCCCACTAGGAGCAGACGCAGCCCCGACTTCCTCAGCACCAAGGTAGTCGACAGCGGCAGCAGAGGCGACCGAGGGGAGAAGGGGGGGAGGGGAACACCCGTCAAAGAAGGGCGTGCAGGGGTCGCCACGAGAGGCACCTATAGTGACTATGCTAGCCTCAGCTGCAAGTAGGTGCTTCTCGAGCAGGTCAACGGTGAGCTCGGTGGGGCAGAGGGCGAGAAAGTGGTCCCTGACCGCGCGAAGGGAGTCAGGGAGACGGGTGACTAGGTGGTAGAGAACGAGGTACATCGTGGGAGGATTCTTGGCTAGAAACTCAGCAGGAAGGGCGGCTCGGTAGCGAGTGTCACTAGTGCGGAGGTGAGTAATGAGGTCAGCGACTGTGGGAAAGGCGGCCAGATCGGGGAAAAGATAGGGCAGCGAGAGACGGCCGATCGTAGCAGAGGCAGGCGAGGAGTAGCGCGCTACTACAGCATCGTACAATGCCTTAGCAGTCTTGTGCTGGCCAAAATGCGCGCGCTCATCTAGCGGTAGGTGGTTGCGAATGGCTAGGCGAGCGTGAGCGTCACGAGTCTGCCACTGGGAGCGAGCAGTACTGTCAGCAGTCTCAGCAGGAGCGGGAGCGGTCCCGAACGCGTGATCGTACAGTGAGATATCGTCCTTAGCAGTGATCTGTAGGAACAGGTGCAGGTCGTCGAGCCAAGCGTCAAACTGAACCGGGCGGCCCTCAGCATCGAAAGAGAGAATGGTGGGAGTAGCCATGGTGGCTGCAGTAGCAGTAGCAGCAGTAGCAGTAGCAGCAGTAGCAGTAGCAGCAGTAGCAGTAGCAGTAGCAGCAGTAGCAGTAGCAGCTGTAGTAGTAAGAACAGCTGTAACAGCAGGAACAGAAGCAGCAGTTGCTGCAGGTGGGGCGGCTCGCCTCGGTAAGGGTGGCGCGACTCGGGCAGGACGGCGCGGCGCGGCTCGGGCAGGCAGGGCGGCGCGTCGGCGGGCCTATGCACGGTGCGCGGCGGCCTTAAGCTTCGTGAAATCAATGTTTCCATAGCGTTTCTCTACGCTCTCGTCGACGCGCTCATGCTCGTCGAGCAGCCGCACAGTTACGTTACGGATTCGTCAATGGTCTGCCGTCCCAAAAAATCCCTTTACATGATTATACAGGCGCCACGACTTTGGTAGCAGCATCTCCACGAACGTCTTACCCGTATCGGTTTTCGCCAACTGCCTCATGACCACGGCATGTACCGCCTCGACAGGGGAGCTGCATCCATTCTACTCGTCGTTTACGTCGACGACTTGTTGTACATCGGCAGCACGCCCGATATTATCTTTTACTTTGAAGGGGATCTGAAAAACGACCTTACGATAACTCTCTCAACTGTCGTTACACAGTACCTCTGACTTAATATCACCGAGACGCCGACTGCTATCCATCTCTCCGCCAAGAAGTACACTGAAAAGCTGCTGAAACGTTTTCCGCTACCGATTACTACCACCAAGACTTCGTTTCATTCTACTTGGATCGCTGACTCCGAATTTCTGAACTCTGTAGGTATCACACGCTATCAACAGCTCTTGGGTAGTCTTCTCTTCGCAACAGTAACGTGTCATCCAGTTCTAGCCTACTCTGCTAGCCAGCTCGCTCAATGTCTTAAGTGTGTTGAAGGGGAGAACCTACGGGAGTTGGAAGCAGCAGTTTCGTACTTTATCTCTACATCAATCACTGGGCTTACGTATCATAAGTCAGCGAAGTCGCCGCAATCTCTACTCGGCTACGTAGATGCAGATCACGTAGGAGATATCGCTAATAAACGCTCACGTACAGGTTATATCTTCCGCCTTGAACCTGTGGGAACAATATACTAGCAGTCATGCAAGTAGGAGCTGATTGCACTCTCTTCAGCTGAGGCAGAGTTCATTGCTGCCTGCACTGCCACCAAGGAAGGTCTTTACTTCGCGAATTACTCAGCGAAGCGAAGTTACTAGTCCTGTCGCAGTTTCAGCTCGTTTGTGACAGTCAATCTGCAATGCGCATTGCGAACAAATCTGGGTTCGCCAATCGGACAAAACATATCTCGCTTTGTCACTTTTTTCGTCAAGGACGAAATCGAGCAAGGCAAGTTACAGCTTGGCTACTGTCCTACGAGCGAAATGGCCGCAAACTTCTTGACCAAACGCCCGCCAAGTCAGAAGCTCCTGTACTGCATGATGCTGATTGGACTCGACCACGTCGCCAAGGACACCGACAACATCGAACTCCAGAGTTGAAGGGGAGTGTTGGGGAATCTGACTTAGACAATTCAGACACTTGATAGTATATCTACAGAAGTATAGTAGATCATTGTATGTGTGTATTACTGTAGCAGGTGTCTTTTCGCTTGAGAAACAGGTAGTAGTGCGAACAGTCTCGTGACTGTTCGCGTGACACAAGATCCTACCGCTTCATATTATCAACTCGAGTGTCTTAGCTCGTTTCATGAAAGGTTACATTCTCGAATAGGTACTTTCTTAGACTACAAAATCCTTGTATCTTTTCTTTATTATTGATTCTTTTTGTCATATTCAATCAGTACAGGAATTCAAGACTTCCGCTGCAATACAACACTGAGACCATGTCACAAGTACGAGGAAAAGTTTAGAAGCAGAAAGAGGGATTGCACTAGCAAGCAGTTGAGTACATATAGGAAACCCTAGATTGGGCTGTACTCGCTATAGAGTACCCCACTGCAGGCTAGACAAATACAACATTCTGACACACCCCCATAGCCAAAGTGGGGTGTAATCAGCAGAGCACGCAGTCATAGAGCAGGTTCACAATTGCAAGCAAAGCTAGAGGCTATCACAGAGGGCAAGTGAGGAGGAGGAGAGACTGTTGGGGCGAGAAGATGGAAGGCGACTGCTGAAGCTGCAGACACACAGGAGCTGCTGGCTCAGTGGCTACCGAAGCAAAGGCCCGGACTACAGGAGTAACTGGCTCCGCGGAGATTGTAGCCTCCTGACTGGAGCAACTGACCCACAGGCGACTGGCGACTACCGGAGATTGTAGCCTCGGGACTACTGGCGCTGCTGACGACACGACGGCTGCCTCCACTCAACCCCCCCCAGCTGCCCCACGCCCCTATCACACACCCCCTGCTGCACCTCTAGTTCCACTCCCACGACACCCCCCTAGCACCACTCCTTCGGCTCCCACACACCCACCCCCCTGAGCGGCAGCTGCAGCAGCGGGAGACGGAGGAGGAGGAGGAGTAGGGGACGGCGCACACAACCGGCACCCCCACAACCGCCACCCCCACACTCCCCACCCCCAAATCCTAAAACGGGTGGCAGGGGGTAGGAGCGCGGGGGACGGCGCGCGGCCCCCAGGGCGCCACCACGGGGCAGCGAGGGGCCGCGCGCGGCTCCCCAGGGCGCCGCGACGAGGTAACGGGGGGTCGCGCGCGGCTCCCAGGGCTCCGCGACAGGACGGCAG